TTCCGATGAGCAGTCTTTCTCGTTCAGAAGAAGGCAGTTCACCCAGAAAATACTAACAACTTTTTGGAAACGTTGGCAACAAGAGTATCTGACCAGGCTTCAGCAGAGACCAAAGTGGACGAAGAGAGAAGAAGAATTCAAAATTGGCCAGATAGTAACTATAAAAACAGATGGTTTGCCGCCTGGAAAATGGCATTTGGGACGCATTGTTGACAGACACCCTGGCTCTGACGGCAATACTAGAGTTTATAGTGTCAAAAGTGGAAATAATATAGTCAAGCGTTCTATTTCTAAATTATGTTACTTACCTGTTGATGAACTTTAGAAAATCATAATTATAATAATAAAATAAAAAACAAATTGTAATGTACATAAACTAACAACATATAAGAAAAAAAAATCATATTTTTAAACTTAATTAAAAGATGATAAATAGTTTTAAAATCAATAATGCATGTAAAATCATTTAAAGATGTAAACCTTGAATGTATCTGATATTGAACTTAATTCTGTATTTGTTAACTTTCAATCTTGTATATTGTGTGACTCTCAATTTGTTTTGTATAAACAAGTGTTGCAGTTACTAATTATTGCGGTATGAGCATGTTATTTGTTGCATGTAATGTATTTGTATAGGTACAAGCTTTGTTAATTGAGTGATTGATTGTTAATTGGATTCATGAATTTAGTACCTACCAAAATTTGTTTATTGTTCTATGAGTGTCAATTAAGCAAGGTCTTAGGGCCCTTTTGGTGGGCGGTATGTTCGTCCCATTTAAAACTATTACGTTCAAGATTATTGAAACCAGTGCGAAATAAACATCAGAGGGTAAACACGTATTTTATTTAATCTCAACACCAGTGCAAACCAAAACAAACCTTATCACCAAACCACTCTGTGTCTTTCATCGTGCTTATAGAGCCTAAATTTTGATTCGTCGGAAATATAACTTTTGACTAATCATCAATAGTCCAATTTAAGTGGCTCTGGGCATATCTTGAAATACGATGCCCACGCTCCAGTTAAGGGCTATATGCAGGTCTAAGTGGCTTCAAGCTTGCTTCAGCAAGTCATCGTCTTACTGTCCATGTGTTTGGGTTACTTCTTCCAAGGCGTCGAAACTGATTTGTAATTTCAGTTCCTATGAGAAAGCGATTTCGAAGCATGATGTTCTTCAAGAATCGATCTTCTCGTGCTGTGGTACACCTGGTTCTGCCTGTTTCTGGTCAGCGTAGGTTAGAGCCAGTTTCCTCGTACCTCGGGGAACTCTTTGTACTGTTGACAGCGACACACCGACAGTCCTGGCTGTATCGCGCTGACTCCGAACATTGAACTCGACATCGACATGGTTTATATGAAAGATAAATGACATATTAGAAACAAAAGAAAAAATAGATGCAGTAATTTCGTAGTTCCATCTATTAGTGCAGGCGCTGGAGGTAGTTGAGTATGCAAAATGTGAGTGACGGCAACTATGACCGGATTCTTATACCTGAGACCCTAAATAACGACAAAACACATCTTGCTGCCGGGTGCGGTGGTCCCTTTCCGCACCCTTCACATCCCCTCTTCGCCCATACAGTAAGCATAGCGCGCTTACGCGTTTAGTGTGTTTTTTTTATACACATAAAATAATAGTATTTTCGTGAATTCTTAGTGTCTGTTTTAAGTGTACTACATTAAAAAACGTTAGAAATGTCGTTAGAAGTTGTTAATTTGAAAAGGAAAAAACCTAACGAACAATTTTGCTTGTTTTGCGATAATTCAAGTAATGTGGTGAAAAAACCAAGGTCAAGCACGCTGCTTAATATTAAAGAAGCAGCAAATAGACGAAAAGACACCATTAGTGAGAAGTTTTCAAAGCTATATAATCCGGAATCCACAAAACAAGAATTTTCATGGCACCAAGACTGTTTAGCCACGTATATTAGTGGGGAGAAGATAAGGCGTCGAGAAATTGCGTTGCATAAAGAAGAAGAAGTGTCTGCTTCAACTTCCACAGCAAACGTGGAGGAGCTTACTCCAAAATCTCGTTCATCATCAAGGAAACCGGCTGCGTTGGAAAACTCGTTGAAGTGCATATTTTGTAAGAAGGTAACGAGAAACAAAGATAAGCAGCTACATTTACGCTCCGAAATTTCAGCAGCGGAAAAAATTTTTAGTACTGCACGTAGCAAAGAAGACCATGTTTTCACTCAACTGAGTACTTGTCAACGGCCTGAAGATTTGTTAGCTATTAAAGTGAGATTTTTACTGATATCTCAAAATATAGGATTTAATTTTAATCTGATGAGAGTGATATGCACTTCGGATGCTTTACATTTGCATTTGTTGAGGGCTACAGTACAAACATATATATGGAAAAATGCTCATCAAACACAATTACCACTCATTGATTATTGCTCATTTGGTTACGAAAAGCTCAACGATGACTTACGTCCACGGCAAATGACGAAGCCGTCTTTACCAGAGTCCTTAATTCCACCGTGTAAATGTACTGCAAATTGTCGCACAATGTCGTGTAATTGCAAAAAATCACAATTGTTTTGTATTTCATTATGTAAATGCATTAATAACAAATGTCAAAATAAAAATTTGTAATTTTTTACCTACTTAAAGCACATTTATGCTTGAATTCACTGGTTTTTCATATATAACTTTTATTTGTTTATTAATAAAAAAATTAATTACTTTCATTTTCGTTTTTTTTTATTATTATTCCAGAATCTATCCTCACTTGTTCCACTAGAATAAACTATAAATTATTACGGAAATAATCATTAAAATGATTTTATATCCTGTACTCAATACATTCCCTTTACGAATAAGAGGAGAGGGGGTAAAAACGAAATGGACCAAAAAATGGACCGGCAAGATTCACATTATTATTCTTTGGCCTTTTCTTCACTTAAATCCATTGGCGGAATTCGGTACTCACATTTTGCATACTCACTTACCTCTAGCGCCCGGTCTATATTATTATTTTTATTCTATTTTTTATGGTATAACTGAACAATAACTGAGAATTATAGTTATAATTTTTATTATTTTTAAAGCATGTAACTGCTTGATGTTTAAATCTAAAGAAAATATAACTAGAAAAAATTCCACGCAGACCAGGCAGCAGACGGGACTCGAACCCGCACCCTTCGCAATCCGGGCGAATGCACTGACCAATTATGCTACCGCGGCCCTCACGGACCGCGTCGAAATTCTTTCTAGCTATTCTTAAGCTGCAAGGCAGCGCCATCTCTTCGCATTATAGGTAAACCCACAATGTCAAATGAATACTTTTACAGGTATTAAACATTTGAAAGAAGAAATAGCAATTATAGTTATAATTTTTATTATTTTTAAAGCATGTAACTGCTTGATGTTTAAATCTAAAGAAAATATAACTAGAAAAAATTCCACGCAGACCAGGCAGCAGACGGGACTCGAACCCGCACCCTTCGCAATCCGGGCGAATGCACTGACCAATTATGCTACCGCGGCCCTCACGGACCGCGTCGAAATTCTTTCTAGCTATTCTTAAGCTGCAAGGCAGCGCCATCTCTTCGCATTGTGGGTTTACCTATAATGCGAAGAGATGGCGCTGCCTTGCAGCTTAAGAATAGCTAGAAAGAATTTCGACGCGGTCCGTGAGGGCCGCGGTAGCATAATTGGTCAGTGCATTCGCCCGGATTGCGAAGGGTGCGGGTTCGAGTCCCGTCTGCTGCCTGGTCTGCGTGGAATTTTTTCTAGTTATATTTTCTTTAGATTTAAATAACTGAGAAGTTTTAATATCTTCATTTAAGAAGTATTTAATTGTCTATTAATTAGAATTTATTTTATTAAGCTAGCATTCTTAGTTTGTGGCATTTTTAAGATTCTTTAAGTGACCCGGATTCATTGCTCTCGTGTAGTGTAGTTTAAAAGATACTCACAAAAGCTGTAGAAGCTATCGTTAATGCGGGACCTTTTTCACACGATTCGACCAATTCGGATGACACAGCTACTCTGACGCCCTTCCACTTCTTGATCGGCATCTCGTCCAACTAAATGATCCCGAGTGGAAATTAGATATTACCGACTTGATGCGTTGCGCAGAGTGAAAGTAGAAGGCACTAAGCCGATTTCTGGCAACGCTGTTTGCGCTAAACCCTGCCAACCACACAACCTAGGCATCAAGTTTTCCAGGAAGCAAGGACATGAAACAAAAATTTTCAGAAAATCTATCAACCAAATAAAAAAGGATAAGAAATTATTATTATAAACTCTTACACTTTTTTCGTACTTATGGTACAGTACAGATATGGTATGATATGGCGGCGGTGCGTTTGGGTTCGCGTACATCTGCAATATCGCTGCCCATATAATACATGGACGAAGGATTTCGCAATCATTATTCTAAGGATTATGCTACCCCAAGAGAATTTATTTAATTAACAATAACTTAAACTTAAGACAAAAATTGCTTGTATCGTGCTAGGATCCTATTCCGCTAAAGTCTCATTGCTCCACGTCTGTGAGTATCTATTTCCACGTGCTCCATTGCGAGCCTCCACATTTCATTGACGCTGTCATTACGCTTCACTGTCAGTTCGCAAAACATACTTTTAGAGGCATATTGTGTATCAGAATAAATAAAAACCACTGATGATTGGAAAATTAACTTATTTATAAAGAAAATTACTATTTTTTTTTTTGCCACAGGTTTGTATTTCTAATATTTAAAGCGAAGGTATTTTTTCAACTTTCAAATATCCCATTAAAATTCACTTTTATTTTCTCAGAATTGAAGCAGAATCTTTATATTTTGATTTTTTTTAGTCATAACTGTAAAATAATCATGCTTAATTATGTAATTACTCTTAATCAAGTAATCACTTAATTTAAATTGACAATCATCAAAATTTTCATTTTACAAAAGTGCACTCACTTAAACACTTAAAACTTCTGCAAGGTTAAGATGACTCAAAAATTATGTTGACCAGGTGAGTATTTTAATTTATTTAAAATGGTCTGTCCTGCCTTTTTAGAAACCGATCACACGAAGATGACTAAAGCGTCTGCGTCCACCCTCAATACAGGGGAAATAGTGCTGTCCGCCATAAAAAAGCTAATGAGGAATACCGGTTGGACAGCGCGCACTATTATTAAGTTCATTAAAATGGAGTATAAGGTGGCTGACCCTAAACTTAATAGGAAGGTCTCAAGGTAACTTAAAAATATTTCCCCCTATATAAAATAGGAAAGCATAATTACAGATGCAACAGCAAACAGCTCACAGTTTAACGTTATATACTTAAATGTATTTATAGTAGCTTGAATCTTAGATTTTCAACTCGCAATTTTCAAATTAAATTTTATGGGCTTTAATTTTATATTTTTTGCGTTTAGAGCTTTGAAGCGTGGAGTTAAGCTGGGCTTATTGCAAATGGAGAGGGGTCGATACAGGCTGAACGAATTGTCGCGCTTGGTCCGGCCTGTGAGTGCCCGAGAGATACGGATGCGTCAGCGCCGAGTCAGGCAGAGGAGACGCGAACGCACCCTACACATTCGAAGCAGATCACCATCTATAATCTCCAAAAGAGCATACATCAGTTATAGAAGATGTTGACGGATGATTTTTAAAACTATAATGTTGAATGTGTTGTCATTTTTGTTTCACTTTTTGCAATAAAATACAGCGTTTTATAAAATTGCGTTTAATTTATTTACCATAGTCAAAATAAGCACTTAAATAGTTACTACACAAGGCATAACCATAAGAAATTGATAAGACAATCGTTTAACTGCTGCATATTATTTTGAATATTGACTTTGGTAATTTGAGCTAGAGTAGGTAGTACGAGTAATAATAATGCCCCAAAGACAAACTTAAGAAATGCGTGGCAGGAAGGAAACTTTAAAATTAATTAAACAAGCGAAGGTTGCGATAAAATAAACGTTTAAAGCTGGCTGCAGACAAACTTAGCTATTCCGAAGCTAACCTAAGCCAGCTTAGCTAAGAATAGATAAATTAAAAATGTGTCCCAAGCACACCAAGAACTAAGCAAAAGCTCAGTCGGTGTTGCGAATCTCAACTCGCCATGAATATTATCGATGAAGAAAAATGCTATAATGAATACGTTACACATTGAAAAAGAAGATTAATACTGGACTCAATCTTAAATAAATACATTCCAGACCGTGCGGGATAGGCGAGAGGGGCTTAGCTCAGCTCGTGTAGCTGCGTATCGGCATACACAACAAACTTAGCATCGCATGTTAAATGTAGTTAGCTCACATAGTTTAGTTTGCATAGTTTGCAGTCTGCATACAAGCGTGAAAAACTAAGTCAGATATCCAAGCTAAGTTTTTTTTCTGTAGTATTTTAAATATAGTCCAATTGAACTATACTATGAATGAAACCACGCGGCTGTTGGCGACAGACACCGGCCACCGGCCAAATGTCATATTTTTGAATTTTATTTTTTATACTTATTGTCTTGTTTGTTTATTATTATTATGCTACTTGTCGTGCTGTGATTGTGTTGTATTGCCTGTTTGTTCTGTGACTATTATATACTTATTGATTTTAAAGTAAAAAAAGCATTTTATTTTATTACACGCCTATTGCTGGTAGTTCGAAGACATCTTCCTCTGCTACTTCCGTCGTCACCCAGAAGCTCGCCTTGGAGGCACAGTAGGCCCAGCGTCTGGCGGAGATCGAAGCTAACTCTGCTGCTGTCGCCGAGCTGGCTGCTGAACAGGCCGCCGCTAATGCTTCTGCCGCCGCCAACCGAGCCGCCTCCAATGTTACTGCCGCCGCCAAACGAGCCGTCTCCAGTGATGCTGCCACACGCGCCACCGCTAAGGCTGGCTTGAGAGCGGAAATAGCAGTTTTAGAAGCAAGCCGTAGATGTTTAATAGGTATTTGTATATAAATATACTTATATAGTATCAGTATATTAATTCTATCCGTTACCCTTGTATCCCATAACACAAGCTTACAGTGCTTACTTTGGGGCTAGGCTTATTGGTGTATGTTGAAAATGTTTATTTATTTATTCAGAATGTAAATTTTAAAAAGATTCCGTTTATGCTGAGGATTATAAAAATTACATTCGAGGGGTTTTAGATAAGGGATCAAATTTCGCGATGGCTCTCGGGGCCCGTGTTTTTACGTCACTGTTTCGAAAATTGACCTCCAGAACCATAATGTATATCAGCACCTCAAATTCTTGAAGAGATTAAATCTCCTCACGACTTTGTGGCTCAAATCATCAATTCACCGCCCATCGAACCACCTCAATTTCACACGTCGCAAGACAACTTAGGCCCTGAATCAGACTCTCCAGTAGAGGTGATGACGGGGTACAGTAAACGAAATTCTATTTAGTCCGTCAGTTAGATGATCAAAAAATAATGGACACGTATTTTTTCTTTGGGTAATCAACCAAAAAATGACAAAGTTATAGCGCGTCAAAGTTTGGGAGTAGGGGCTCGTGAAGTCACTTTTTAGTGAATATTCGCTTAAAAGTGTACTCAATATATCTCTGCAATGTTTATATTATGTGAAACAAAAAACAAAAAAAATGTGTCCAGTACTTTTTATAATCTTCCTGATAAACGAAGAAAAAAAAATTAGTCATCATCCCTATTATCATGAATCATTCTCATTTCAATAGGTGGAGACGTTTTGTCAGAGCGATACATATGCCTATGTGCAATTTAATTCTCCTCCATTCTAAGTCATATTTCTTTATTTTATTTATTTGTATTCATGCATCGTAGGCCCATAGAAATATGTACCCTATAGTCTTACATAAATATGAAATACTAGCGGCCGCCCGCGACTTCGTACGCGTGGAGTTAGCTATTTGCACATACTTTTTGACCCAAAAAGGGGATTTATTTCTTCTCATTATTAGTACACCTCTACACTACAGACCAATGGCGTTGTTTGATTCCTCCAACTTGTTCACTACATCGGCCAGATTTGCTTTTAAAAGTTGATATCCTTCAGAAACCTGGTAACATCGATGGGGTCTAACGTGTCGGGAGGGAGCTTGTGTAGCTCCTTCGCCATGAAAGTACGCACGTCATTTAAATCCACTTTTTTCAGCAGGGTGACGATGTCTTGCAGATTCTTCACCGTTCCATCCCTCGGCCAGATCGTCCTTGCCGACGGACCGGAAGAGTAACGCCTTGCCACTGCAAACCTCCTCTTCTTTGATATTTGATTTGCAGATCTGCAGGATGTATTTAATTGTATCTATGATGTTTTCAATGAACGCCAACAACTCGTTAGCTATGAGTTGCTGGGAACTCATTGCCACCGAAGCGCACGACAGCTGTTACCGTGTGAGATGCGAATTGTTTTAATTCACTGCCAGCTATGTCGTATAAGATGAGCTCATCCTATCGTACCACCGTTTGGAGACCTACCAACTGGCCGCCTTGCTCACCACAAAAGACCATTTTCTCACGTAGGCTTAGACTACTTAGGCCCCGTGAATATAACCGCAGGACGTCGCGATCTGCAGCGCTTTGTTGCCCTTTTTACGAGCTTTACAGTACGAGCGATCCAGTTAGTATAAGTGGAAACTCTTACAACAGATCCCGCCATATTAACACTACAGCGGTTCATCGCTGGAGGACAACTTTTGGTAGCGAAGGATCAAATAATATTTGCCGAGGCTGGTGTCAGGAAGAACTGAATCCCGGGAGCAGTTGCGCTGCGGCGATGTCGTTCTTACAGTGGACAGTTCATTACCACGCTCGACCTGACCCATGCAAAAGTCAAAACCTATACTGGACCTGACGATAGGGTACGATCCGTAGACGTCCACACTAGAGCAGAGGTCCTAAAGAGGGCCTCCACGTTTCTCGTCCCGTTGGCCAGAGCCTGTACTCCATCCTAAATCGTATGTCACATTGTGGGGGAGTGTTGGCGACAAACACTGGCCAAATGTCATATTTTTGAATTGTATTTTTATTTTTCTTACTAATTGTCTTTTTTGTTTATTATTATTACCTCAGTTAACACAAATTTTGAGTCCACGTTCTATGCACCAGATTTTATTTCTTATAAAAAAATAATTTTAAAAACAATATTTATTAAAAAAAAAAAGTTTGTATTGTAGAAATCAGAATGAAATTTTAAATTTCATAGAAAATTACTAACTTTTTTTCTTTGAGTTGTATATAACATGAAAATACACATTTATTGATTTATTTAAATCGCAATTATTTACATAGGACAATAAAACCAAGTCTACTTTAACAAAAAAGATATTGATTTAGTTTTTAACCCTCTGCAGCAGAAGCACAGATAAGCAATATTCCGAAATAGCAAAATCCCAGATTAGCGGAAGGACAGATTTGCATAACAACAGAAATACAGACCCACAAAGAAAACAAAAATAAAATTTAATAGTTACAATTCATAAAATTTTATTTGAAATATTATTACTTTAAGATGTATTCATTCGTCTTTGTAATTTGGCCAAACGTATCCAATCATTCTATTGCAGAAATTGAATAAACTCGTGATAAAAATTATATCCTTATGTGTTAGAAATAAATTCTCATGAGTCATGACTATTTATGACAATTACAAGTGGCCATTAAGATATATAAAGCAAAGAGGTCACAAATTGATAATAAGGTTTATTTCAATTTGTTTTATTCTATTTATCCTTGTAGGTATAGTTTTTGATGACGACAGTACATTATCTGTCTTTATGCAAATCTGTGTGAGATATTGCTTATCTGACATACTACTGCAGAGGGGTCTTAAAAAGAAATTTTTAGCATTTCTTATAATTTTAAGTCTCTGAAAATTCAGTGAAAAATATCTTTAGATTTTTTTTATAACACGCAGATATTAAATATAGGGCCAGCTATAAAGAATACGAATATATCATACTTAATATTATATTTTTTTCTGACAGTCTGACCTTCTTATTAATAAACGAAGACTACGCTTGGATTAGTTACTCCATGTTTTGTCCCTGTCTATTGAATGACAAATGGTATTTGACTGACATGAACAAAAGACGGTGTAACTAGTCTACGCTTATTCCTTTTTTTAAGGGGGTGAATGTGCTGCTGGTAGTTAAGTAAAGGAAAAGCACCTACGTTAATATTAACAGTTAATTATACTTTTATTAAAGCTCCTGATGATTCAATCTCCAGCGGTGGAACAACTTATACGATCTTCAAATCTCATTAGGAGTCTTATGGAACGCTAAGTAATTTAAATAAGTAAATTTAACTAAGTTGTTATTTTACCTTAATTTCGCAATTCAGAGCAATTATGGTAAGTAAATTTAGTGTGTAATTATTACTTGCACCATTTTATTGTTATAATAATTTGTAATAATTGATTAAACGGGTAGAAAAAGAAAAGTATAAAGGCAGTAAAATAAAAACGGCACTAGGCGAGTAAAAAAAATTAAACAGTTTAACTTTAAAACAATAATTATTGAAAATAGGCACACAAAACGGGAAAACATACAACACAAGTACTACACGGCAAGAAGAATAATAACACAAGTCAACAAAATGAAAAAAAAAATTGAGTCTGTTATTTAATGACTATTGTCTAATTGTTTCTATCGAAAAATAACCAGAAACCTCATTTTTATTTTAAAAAGTTTGCTTTTGTACTTTATACAATGATAAATAAATATGTATACTTTTGTATTTGTATGACTTTTGTAAAAGGCTGAGGATCTACCGCTTTTAATAAGCAAAAAAAAGGAGTGCAAAAGCACATTGGGTATGGAATAGGAAGCAGTAGAGCAATCACTCAGTGCATGTACACACCTTTTAGAGAAACGACGTATTTTGTAAATGCCTAGAGCGGTAAATGCCTTCCAAAATGAGTGAAAACTACGTGGACCCCTTGTTTGCTTTATTTGCGGAGATTTTTTTAAAATTTAGAGTCATAGCAATGGTTTAACCTGTAGTTAAAGACTTAATTAAACATATGAAGCTTAATTTTAACTTCCTATTTGACTTCAGGATAAAATATGGACGCCTCATGACGATATACAAAATTTCCAAGTTATTTTTGTTTACTTCACTACCAGCAGCACATTCAGAGTGTCAGAAAAAGGATTATAATATTTAGTATGATATACTTTTATTCATTATGGACCCTATCATTATAATATTATATCTCAGTTGCATGAAAAAAATCTTTATTGAAGGGAAACGACGTATTTTGTGAGTCTTGAGCAGTAAATTGTTTGATTTATTTCCGGAGATTTTATTAAATTTAAGGTCAAAAAATGTTGTTTATCCAGTAGTAAAAGGCATAATTAAGCATATGAAGCTTAAATCTAAAGAAAAGTTTACTAGAAAAAAAATTTGCGGATTGCGAAGGGTCGGGGTCGAGTCCCGTCCGCTGCCTGGTCCGCGTGGATTTTTTTTCTAGTAAACTTTTCTTTAGATTTAAACATCTAGCAGTTAAATGCTTAAAAATAAATAAAACATAACTATAATTGCTATTTCTTCTTTCAAATGTTTAATACTTGAAAAAGTATTAATTTGACATTGTGGGTTACCTACAATGCGAAGAGATGGCGCTGCCTAGCATCTTAAGGCTAGGAAAATTTCGACGCGGCGAATAGGGCCGTGGTAGCATAATGGTCAGTGTATTCGCCCGGATTACAAAGGGTGCGGGTTCTAGTCCCGTCCGCTGCCTGGTCCACGTGGATTTTTTTTCTAGTAAACTTTTCTTTAGATTTAAACATCTAGCAGTTAAATGCTTAAAATAAATAAAACATAAATATGAAGCTTACTTTAACTTTCTTTTCGAAGTCAGGATAAAATATGGGCGTCTCATGAGAATATACCAAATTTCCATGGTATTTTGTTTGAAATTTTTCAGACTAAAAATTATAAAATATGCTAAAAATATCAATTTTTAAAACTAAATCAATATATTTTTTGTATTCATAGACTTGGTTTATTTGTCTTAAGTAAATAAAAGAGTTTTAAATAAATATATTATTGGTTATTTTCTTGTTATATACAACTTAAACAAAAAAGTTTGCATTCTGGTAGCTACAAAAGCAAACTTTTTTAAATAAAATTATTGTTTCTTACATTAATTAGGTATAAGAAATCAAAATCTGGTACAAAGAACTCAGACTCAAAAATCGTGTTGACTGGTGTTATTTACATCGAACAATAACCAAAAACCTCATTTATATTTTAAAAAGTTAGCTTTTGTACTTTATACAATGATAAATACAAATTTATGACTTTTGTAAAAGGCTGAGGAACTATTGCTTTTAATAAGCAAAAGAAAGGACTGCAGAAAGATATCTGGTATGGAACAGGAAGTAGTAGAGCAGTCGCTCAGTGTGTGTACACATATTTTAG